TTTTTTTATTTGAGATGACTTTGATCAATTGAGGGTTCATGTTGACAATATATCTACATTTTTAATTCTCACATGACTGTGGATTTATCCTTATGAGCTCACCCGTCCTCGTCGCCGTAGATCGCCGCCTATGAATGTTTTTTTAGTCACCAGGACGAGACGCACAGAGCATTAATCCATTAGCTAGAAGAAGAAAAAAAAATGTTTGACCAGCTACAAATAAATGAACGATTTAATTTTAAAAAATAGTCAAAAGTTGTCCCCATTTTTCCACTTTCACGAGACATCCACGCCTTTTTGGAGGAAGCTGAATTTGCAATAAACCTAATGTCCGCAATCTTTTTGTATTTTAATTTCGAACAAATTTTTAAAATAGACCACTTTTAAAACTTAATTAGCAAAATAAGCTGAAAAAATATTTAATTATCAAAAATCGTTGTAAGCTGGGACGGTAGTTATAAATCGTTGTTATAAATGAGGATACAGTCATGTTTTTATAAATCGTTGTTAATTATATTTGATAATAGTTATACCTAATGATATGTTATTTCTAGATGCTATCGTGGTAGTTCTAGTAGCCCTCGAGTTAGTTCTAGCTGCTACAATTGTGCTAGCCCACACCTTGCTAGTTCTAAACTCAGCCCGCGTTTTTTACCTTCACACTTGTTAATTCATGCTTCTACGTTAGTTCTAGCTTCTATTACCCTAGTTCTAGCTTGTATACAGCCAGTTCTAGCCCACACCTTGCTAGTTCTAAACTCAGCCCGCGTTTTTTACCTTCACACTTGTTAATTCATGCTTCTACGTTAGTTCTAGCTTCTATTACCCTAGTTTTAGCTTGTATATAGCCAGTTCTAGCCCACACCTTGCTAGTTCTAAACCCAACAAGGTTTTTTTACATGCACACTTGTTAATTCTAGCTTCTACCTTAGTTCTAGTTTCTATTATCCTAGTTCTAGCTTGTATACAGCCAGTTCTAGCCCACACCTTCCTAGTTCTAAACTCAGCCTTCGTATTTTACCTTCACACTTGTTAATTCTTGCTTCTACGTTAGTTCTAACTTCTATTACCCTAGTTCTAGTTTGTATACAGCTAGTTCTAACTCACACCTTGCTAGTTCTAAACCCAGCCCGTATTTTTTACATGCACACTTGTTAATTCTAGCTTCTACCTTAGTTCTAGCTTCTATTACCCTAGTTCTAGTTTGTATACAGTCAGTTCTAGCTCACACATTGCTAGTTCTAAACTCAGCCTTCGTATTTTATCTTCACACTTGTTAATTCTTGCTTCTACGTTAGTTCTAGCTTCTATTACCCTAGTTCTAGCTTGTATACAGTCAGTTCTAGCTCACACCTTGCTAGTTCTAAACCAGCCCGTGTTTTTTACATGCACGCTTGTTAATTCTAGCTTCTACCTTAGTTCTAGCTTCTATTACCCTAGTTCTAGCTTGTATACAATCAGTTCTAGCCCACACCTTGCTAGTTCTAAACCCAGCCCGTGTTTTTTACATGCACACTTGTTAATTCTAGCTTCTACCTTAGTTCTAACTTCTATTACCCTAGTTCTAGCTTGTATACAGTCAGTTCTAGCCCACACATTGCTGGTTCTAAACCTAGCCTTCGTATTTTACCTTCACACTTATTAATTCTTGCTTCTACGTTAGTTCTAGCTTCTACTACTCTAGTTCTAGCTTGTATACAAAACATGTGGCATTTCCGCAAATATGAACCACCATTATCGAAACATTAAGCCTATAAATTCGTACGAAGAGCAGTGACCCAAACTTTCGCCGCTTTTGCCGCCTGTTCTCTCTCCAGAAACCAGAGAAGGAGAGGAAAAATTCCCGCCATTTTCTCCGGCGATCCGCCACCTTAGGGTCTCGATCTTCGAGGCGGTCGGATCTCTCTCGGTCCGTTTACGGGTTCGGGTTTCACGGCGGCATCCGGATCCATTCGTGTCGAGGAGGAGAAAATGGAGGGGAGGTTTTAATCAATTCATGGGGAATTGCTTTCGAAAGACTAAGCGTAAATTTGCTTCATTTTCTTTTTCTTTTTGAGTAATCTTGTCTATTCAATTTTGATTTTGTTAGCAGGAAGAATTTTTTTTTTTTGGTGGGGGGTGGGGGTTGGGATGGGGAACAAAGGCACAGAATATGTCCTAAAAGGAGTTCCCTTTATGTGATAGAAACCCTAAATGGAAATAAAGGAGTCAAATATTATGTGAAGTGAAATGAATGCTGTTTAATGTGTGTGTAGGATGAAATTATATGATGATAAGAAACCCTAATTTGATTCCACACCCATCGACAAAGCGCATTCTGAATCTCTAGCAGATTGCCGACAAAGCGATGTAATAGCCCTAATTTCGAGATTGCCTTAAACTTGAATATGATCAGATGTATGGAAAGTTGATTTGATAAGGTTAATTGCTTGAGTTCGCCCTTTTATAGGGTTTTCCCTCATGGTTCTGCATATTTTATTATGATCAACATGAACACAAGGCATGCATTTGTCTGAAGGAAAGAAAAAAAGTAATGCTATGCCCAAGTTTGCCGGTTCCTTGTTTGGACAACGAGAAAAAAGAAAGAAAGAAAAACTAATATTAGGTCAAATTTGGGTATGATGTCTTCTTGCCTAAGAAATGCAAATGAAGACGATAAGGAAATGCAGCTTAAGAAGATGCATGTACCCGGTGCAGTCTTGCACACATTTAGATTGGTTTAGAGACCCTTTCTGAGTTTTAAGACAACAATTTTTGTGTATATTTAGGTCAAGTAGTCATACATTCATTAACGCTTCTCTAACTTTTTTTAAATTTAGGGAGGTGTCTCGATCAGTTTTGAAATTGGGAGACGTTGTATGGTTTTAGTGGAGAGTTCAGAGTATTTTTTGACTATTTGAACACAATCAGACGATATCTGAATCCACTGGCCCTATTCAAATACTATTTTAATTGCAATCTCGAACAAGGATGTAGCTATAGCAACTTGGATGATTGATGGAAACTTACAGGCAAGTCATTTGATTTGGCTTATGACTTTCGTAAAATTCTAAAATATTTGAGTAATGGGGGGAAAAAAATCTTTTTTATTTTTTATGCTTTTCTTTTGTTTTGTATACCTAGGGTGTACATCTTTTCTTTATGTCTGTCCGTTTACTACCTATTGCAGTTTTTGTGCTGGAGGGGTGTGTGCTCCATGCACATTTGGGACTGGGGTGTAAAATTAGCTTTATGTTTACTTACAGTTAAACTTGGGTAGAGGAAAATCATTATCCTTCAACATTAAGATCAAACAAACTGGTTTAGGTTTAATTTGTCTTTCATGCAGTTTATTTTCAAGTTGAAATGTTTTTTTAAAACTTGATTTGAGATACCAAGAGTTTTTGTTCCATCACTTCATTCTGTAGGGTTACTGGAGGAAACAGACTTTCTTGTTTCTGTTCTAATCTGATTTCTTTTTTCTTTTTGTCAGTTGTATTTAAAAAAGCTATTGGAAAATCTTCTTGCAAGAAAAGCAAAAACAAAATCGCAAAGGCGAGTAGAAACAAGGAAAATGCAACTGTTAGCACTAAAATTGAGAGTATGCCAGTGACCACCAGCATTGTTAGCGTCAAGGTGAGCAGTTCTGTAGGAACCATGCCAGCGAGTGGAAATTATACCACTGCAGTGGAAAATCCCAAAGATATGGGGGATTGGCAGCAGATAGGTAAAATTAGAAATTGCACCGTATTTACATATAAAGAGTTGACAGTAGCCACAAGCTATTTCCGGCCAGATTTGATCCTTGGTGAGGGTGGATTTGGGCTTGTATTTAAAGGTGTTATAGATGAGACAGTAAGGCCAGGTTTCAAGTCGACCAAAGTTGCTGTTAAAGAGCTCAATCCAGATGGCTACCAAGGTGACAGAGAATGGCTGGTAAGTTTTCGTTATAGATCTCATTCTTTGTGCCATTATCTTCCATTTCTTTGTCTACTGATTCAAGATATTTCGAAGTTGTAAATCTTACAATAGGAATCACTGAAATAAATTAATGATTTTCTGCTAAAAGTGCATAAAATTGGTTCATTAGAGTTTGGACGACATAGTTAAATATATATTTTTTTCTTGGAGAAAATACTAATGAAAACTAAAGTTTAAGGTACTTGTAGACGTTTATAGGTCCAACTTATAGTTAAAAGTATGCTTTGTCCAGAAAATATTCTATAAAAGTATGCTTTGTCCAGAAAATATTCTATGTAAAGATATCATATGAAACTTTGTACACAAATTCTAGTCTACTAAGAAGGATTGGGCACACTGGAATAAGATGTAAAGCTGCCACTTTCCACGGTACGATATTTTCTGCCCTTAGATGAAACTTTGAAACTATAAAGTGCAGAAAATTATACTAGCGAAGGACATACTCTAGAGAACTTAATGTAGAAATACATTCGAATCGTAAAGAATCCATCTGATTGATTGCTTTGTTAAGCGTTTGTTCTATGTACATCTTTGTGCAGTTTAAACTCATATTATGCACTGACCCATGCTTAATGCACAAATTGCTAAAGCTCTTGTTTCACATTCATAGCATTTATTCCGAATTCTTTTATTGAACTACCACATCCCATATCCTCATGCGTCCACGAATATAGAACTTTTCGTCAAGGCACTGATCTAAACAAAACTACTCACTTTCTATCCTCTCACCCATTTCTGTGCAGGCAGAAGTCAACTATCTTGGGCACTTTAGTCATCCGAATCTCGTTAGGCTTATCGGCTATTGCCATGAGGATAAGCACAGATTGTTGGTTTACGAGTACATGGCCTGTGGGAGCCTAGAAACACACCTTTTCAAACGTATGGAAACTACTAATATATCATGGATGTGGTATTGTGTTATTATTGTCTAGTTCATAATAATACACATGGTTAAATCTTTGTTTTCATGCAACAATGGTCCATATTCAGCATTCTGGTTACATGGTTTTATTAGAAAATTGCTTAGAATAAAGATGTATTTACTGTTCCGCTAAGTTTTAGGTTGAGTTTATTTGCTAGAAATCCAATGAACGGTAGTTGTTGCCACTTAAAATAGTCTGTCAAGGAGAAATTTGACATGTTCTCTCTTGCATGATGATATTGCAATTTGAGGAGCCATATATATATATATATATATATATATATATATATATATATATATATATATATATATATATATATATATATATATATATATATTGGAATGTTTTCTAAAGGTGACACCTTAGATTCCCACCTAAGGACGCGGTCTAAAATCACATCATTCCCTAATTTTTTTTTACGATTCGCTCCGTTAAACTTGATCTACACGTTCTTAAACCCAAACACACCAATTTTGGGGTGAACCTGTGGTGTTTTGACCCTTCATCCACTCACCGCAAATTTTAACGGTTTCAAACGAATAGAACTTTTTGCACGGCTAATACGAAGGCTCTCAAAACACGACGGGTTCACCTCAAAAATTGATTGTGTTGAGTTTAAGAACGTGTAGATCAAGTTCAACGAGCGGTATATATATACACACACACACACACACACATACATACATACATGGCCAACGTTGCCTCGTAACCTGCGTGGGTATTGACCTGGGTAAATTTACGGAAAAATACCCTAATGTTTCACTATCGTTACATATTACAGATAACTAATTACCTTAATGTTTCTGTGTATAGCACTTTATTTACCATGTTGCATGCTTCTACCTTCCAAAATCCTGTCATTAGGAATATGTAACAGCGAATGCCATTTCTTGAATGATTTTGCGCTTCTTTTACACACATTTGTCCTTTGGTCTTATCTCCAATTTCTTCACTTTATTTCTAGTAATCTACCACAGCATGAAAAGAAAATGGGGATTGAATCATTTGAAAACTAATTGAAGAGAAAAGAACCATGGATATAATTCTTAAATACTTCAAATTCTTAATTTATTTATTCCTCTTGTTTCCACTCAACTTATTAAATGCATCACAGCTCTTCTCAGTCAATTCCAAACTTCACTTTGCACAGACCTGCATTTCATAATCTGTTGAAGTTTATGGCCTTTTATTCTTTATATTCAGTTATCCAGAACTTTAGTGATTTTATTTTTCTTTATCTTTAAACCATCTTATCCAATCCCTACAATAAATTCTTTATCCAATCTCATCTCTCACATTTTCCAATATACATTTTCCATCTTGCAACCTATCAGTCCTAACCCAAAGTTTTAAGTTCTGTGTCCATATCAGAGGAGTTTTTGTAATTATCTCCATACAGTTAATACTGGCATTGTTTCAACAAGTTTACTCCATAGTTTTCAAGTTGGATGCCTAGGAAGAAGATAACCTTTAAAACATGCTTAAGCGAAATGTCCTCTTAGATATTGACTTTTAACTGAACTTGTCTGGTTTTATTTTTTGAAAGTTGGTTTGTTATGCCTAGAGTGGTTAGCAATTGTTCAATAATTTCAAGCTAACATTTTGTGTAGGAACTTGCTCAACGTTAAAAAAAAACTGATCAGCTGATGTAGTTTAGTATCATTTCTCTTAACAGGACATAATGCACTGACATGGCCTATAAGAATGAAAATTGCCTTGGATGCAGCAAAAGGGCTTGCATTCCTTCATGGAGCAGAAACACCTATTATCTACCGTGATTTCAAGACTTCAAACATCTTGCTAGATTCGGTTGGTATCTTCTTGAACTTCCATCTTTTTTAATTGCTTAAAGCCATCCTGAACAATCAAATACACAAAAATGTTGTGGTTCAATTCTATCTTATATTGCCTCTCTGCCCAGGTAAATAAAATATCCAACGAATGTGTAGGAGAGCACATATTGAGTGGCAGTCACTATAAGATTCTTTAGCAAGCTGTATTAGTATTGAAATATAATATCTGCACTCTTAACGTTGAAACATCGTCTCTCTTTGTATGTAATTCATGGAAATTTAATGTGAAATAGCTGAAAGAAATCAGTATGTCCTTTTGACTATTTTTTTCATTCTTGCAATAAACGAAAAGAAAACCCTGATCAAGTGTGTGTGTGTGTGTGTGTGTGTGTTTGTGTGTGTGTGTGTTGGGGGTGGGGCGTGGGGACTTGGGCTATGCCAGAATTTCATTTTTAATTATATGAACATGTACCTGGTCTTCAATCTTATATTTCAGGAATTCAATGCAAAACTTTCAGATTTTGGCCTTGCAAAGGAGGGCCCCAAGGGTGATGCAACACATGTTTCTACAAGGGTCATGGGTACCTATGGTTATGCTGCTCCTGAGTACATAATGACAGGTGAGTTGATGAGTAATCCACCAGGTTATATTATTCTTCTTATTAAGGAGAATTACTACATAGCTAAAACTTTATCATCCTAAGTTTTATCACCAATACGCCCCAAACACCCAGACACCACCATCACCACCAGAAAATACACACGTGCTTTTCCTAGAAGAGAGTATAACATCTGCTTAGCCCTCCATAATTTGGCATGTTTATCTTTCTAATATAAAACAGTAATAATACGATGAAAAGGTTGACAACTTGAGTTGTACGCAGCATTGTGGTTTTTGTTGTAGAAACTTATATCACGAGTAACATCTACTTAAATAAAAGAAAGGTTGGAACAATATGTAGATTTGTTATTATAGTATTTTAAACTGTTGAGTTATTCAAATGTAGACTTGAGTGTAGAATATATCCTTCCTCTTTGAGATAATGGGCTGGAGATACAGCAATGTACGCTGTCTTATGTTGGAAGAAATAAGCTATAATCTGCATATACGACTTTTGGAAGTGCTGCAAAGTGGGTAGATAATTAAATTACTTGGTATGTTTGGATATATTAGCTGCTAATCATCAGGCATGGCTCCTTCGTTGAAGTTTGATATCTGAGAACGGAAACTTGTTTCTGAACTTGGCCTTATTATATGTTTCTCATTTATCAGGACATCTGACTGCGAAAAGCGACGTTTATGGCTTCGGAGTCGTTCTCCTCGAGATAATGGTAGGAAAAAGAGCACTAGACAAGCGCAGGCCAAACCAGGAACGCAATCTCGTTGACTGGGCTCGACCGCTCTTGATTCGCACTCCCAAGCTCTTGAAAATCATAGACCCCAAATTGCAAGGCCAGTACTCGAGCAGAACGGCTGGCAGAATAGGCAACTTGGCTCACCGATGCCTCAGTGAGAACCCCAAGACTAGGCCTACAATGAGAGAGGTTGTTGAGTCCTTAGAGGCCTATAACCAAGAAGAGATGCTGTACCAAAGCAATAAAGCTGCTGGGATCCCCGACGAGGTTTCTGAAGAATCAATTGATTGTAGGAGTAAAGAACTACAGAAGGAGTCGGAGAGCGGTCCAGTGGAAAGTATGGTTCAGGGGAGGAGGAGAATGAGGCCAGGGAATGAAAGCAAGAGTGATCCTCCCTCCAAGGAATTTGATCATCGGCATTGCCCTTCGTTGGACGAGGGACAGAATATGCGCTCGAGGCAATCACTTGATTATTACGATAGGTAAAAGTCATCAGGAGATAAGAGGGTGAAATACGTACCATCCCCGATGCTTGTCTGTGCACAGTTGGCATCTGGTGTGGCATTTTTTTTAGATATGACCTCGCCTGAGAGTCAGAAGTTTTCGGCATCTCAGGTTAGCTTTTGTACAGTAAGATGAGATATGAGAGGCCTTGGCTCAGAATACAGGCGAGAAGTTGATTTTTTTTCATAATGATTTTTGTAGCGTCCACAGGGAGTGTTTTTTGAAGAGCGCTCAGCCAGTCTACATTTTCTCATAAGTTGTTGGTTCGCGAGCGTTTGCTTTGTTTACTTGCACATATAATCCTCTTGATAGATGCACATCGTCGTATGATGAACGCACGCGGCTGTGGTAAAAGCATGCATGAACTCACTGTGAACAAACAACTATAGCAATTATCTAAATTATACAGCTGATTCAAAATTTCACGTTGATCGGAATTTCTAGTTCTATTCAAATTTTGATGGATCACCCCAGATGATATCTCTGTTAATTTTGAACTCCTTTGGTTGGCGATCTAAAACATAAGGCGGCAATTGATCCAAGAAGGTCAAGAGGCAAAGCTAGGCTTATTCATTAACATAGAGTAAGATACAAACACGGCTAGCATACTTGCGAACTAAGGTTTACAGCTCTTACGGGAACATCATATGATCATAACTCAAGCACAAAGAATAAACATTGATGAAGGATGATTTTAGACCAAATTCCTTTGGATAGGACTGAGAGAGACCTCTCTCATTTCCTCGACGAAGGAGACAGCACTCTCGTGCGGTACTCTCCGAGAGCCCAGATCGGAAAGATGTTCCTATATGCGGAATAGCTGATCATGCAATTTCTATTGAAAACCCCCATTATTTCCTGCAACAAGTAGAACAAACACAAAAATGGCATGTTTATGTTGAGTGCTTATACGTCTAATGAGCGAAATAGAGGAAACGCTTTGGAAAGAACTTACTTGTTGAGGGAATTCACCATTCTCCATCTGCATATTTATCAGCGCTTTTGCTGCACGGTGCAAAGGCTTCGGATCTCTCTCAGCCTGCAGGGTTTAGCAAATGTTGTAACCTTAGTAGAGACCAGCACATCAGGAAAAGATGTCCAATCAATGCAAAGTCAAGCTATGCCTAGAATACATAATACTAAAGAGAGGATTGCCAGTTTCAAGACAAAATAGCTTCGAGAAATAGGATTCCAAGGCTGTCAAATTGTTTGTTAACTTTCTGGGGCTCAATTGATCTTTTTTTAAACTATTCCAACCAAGGATACAAAATGGTAATCTTTCTGTGAAATCATATCAGGAATGTGGTCACAAGCATCTCTAGTATTTCTTGTGCACGCTACGCATGCATGCATAATTCCACCTTTAGGTTAAAAAGGATGAGAAGCTGGAGGGATGGATGAGTAAGTGGGGCATTAACGATGGTTAGTGGTGATTAATAGGGGTAATTATGGAGAGCATGGGATGGATGGAAGTTAAAATGGTAGTCTTTTGAGTTTTCCAAGTTTATCCCTCTCACGATTCTTAAATATGTGTAAATTATGAAAACATTTCACGGAATTATTTGAATTCATGACTTAAACAGGGGCAGGACACAAAAAAAAGGCTTTTATTAAATAATAGTAATAGAAAAGAGTTGGGGGTCCCTCAGTGCAGTTTGCATAGTGAAGCAAATAATTCCTAATAGGCAACAACATCAGCAAGCAGCTACTCGAATAGTTTAAGTCCAGGGTGTTGCTCAGTATTAATAGTTGAGTTTAATTGTTCAGTTGGATTGACCTGTTTCTGTTAATAATTAAATATGTCAACCTGCAGCTCTAATGAATAAAAATCCAAGCAGGAATCGGTCCCGCATGTTTATCGAAGGAAATTCAAGAAGGCACAATATTAGCGAATCATTTTCACTCCTTTAAGATTTTTCTTTCTGTCTTTGAGCTCTCTGATATGTGGGGAAATTCCCACGTTTTTCTCATGTGCTCATGACCCCCTTCCAGATTGGAAGTCACATCCATTGCATGAGTAACTTACCCATTACTACCTATAACGGCTTGCCTCCTCCAATTGCTCAACAAACTACTGCTTTCCTTGCTCTTACTAATAGAGTTAGCAATCCTTTATTCCAATCTTCATCCCTTCCTCAAATCCTTCTTCATTTCCATAGTATATTACAGGCTGTTTATGGTTAGCAGGAAAATCTTCCCCAGGTATGATACTCCACGTCTTAATTTGAATGACAATGTGAGATAACATGAAGTCACTAGATGCTATACAAATCTTAATCTGAATGATAATGTGAGATAACATGAAGTCACCAGATGCTACACAAGTAAAACATCTTTCTGCCCCTTCAGCTCCAATGTTAGGCTTGTCTTAGACCATCTCCAGCAGGTAGGCAAATTTTTACCTATTTTGTCATGCCACATCAGCTTATTCATCCAACACATCATTCAATAACACCCATTTCCCTTCCATTCCTGCAGCAGCTAGTTTTTCAGAAAGTTTTTTACTTTATTAGGGACCCACATGTCTCCATCATATACCCCACCATATTTCTCCACCATATTTATTCATTTATTTTTCCCTATTTGATATATGTTATCGACCAGATCCTTCTTCAACTGAATATGTTGGACCCTATCTCGCAGCTCGGCTCTAGTCGGAATATTCAAATCGGACCGTCCTTGAACATGCACTTGAAACTCAGGCAATACTTCTGTTTGAACATTGAAAGAGGCACTAGAGCCTGATGACTGTTCGAAGTCTAGATTTTCCCAGTTTCGGGAATACGTATCTCGTTCATCCTCTACTATCATGTTATGTAAAATAATGCACGCCCTCATAATTTTCCCTAAGACATCAAGGTCCCACATTCTAGCTGGTTGGCGGACAATAGAAAACCGTGCCTGGAGAACCCCGAATGCGCGTTTCACGTCCTTCCTGCATGACTCTTGTTGTTTGGCAAAAAATTGCTGTTTGTTTCCTTGGGACATTTGAATTGACTGGACGAAGACAGGCCATTTAGGATAGATTCCGTCAGCAAGATAGTATGCAAGATTGTATTGTCTCCCATTCACAGTGAAGTTTACCCTTGGAGCTTCACCCGACTCAATGTCGTCGAAAACTGGCGACCTATCTAGTACATTTATGTCATTTAATGTACCAGACAACCCAAAAAAAGCATGCCATATCCACAAATCATATGAGGCAACTGCCTCAAGGATAACTGTTGCTGTTCCCTTGTGTCCACTAGTAAACTGCCCTTGCCAAGCCTTTGGACAATTCTTCCATTGCCAGTGCATGCAATCGATACTTCCAATCATCCCAGGAAAACCACGATCATGGCCAACTTGGAGCAACCTCTGCAAGTCATCCAAATTTGGCTGTCTTAAGTATTCATCTCCAAAACAGGCTATTACCCCTTCACAAAACTTACGAGTACACTCAATTGCAGTGGATTCCCCTATCTTCACGTACTCATCACAAGCATCCGCTGCCACACCATATGCAAGCATGCGTATGGAAGCCGTACACTTTTGGATCGGCGTTAAACCAAGCTTTCCCGCATTATTGCGTCTTTGAATGAAGTAGTTATCATAATTTGATATAGAGTCCACAATCCGCAAAAAAAGTGGCCTCTTCATTCGATACCTCCGTCGGAGTTGTTCGTCAGTGTAGGTGCATGACTCGACAAAGTAGTCGGCCATGAGCCTCTCATGAGCAGCATGGTGATCTCTATATATTGATTTTCTCTTATGGGGTTGTTCGCTTCTCCTTTGCAATTCTTCAAGAAGTTCTTGCTGCCTATCAAGTATTTTTCCTTCTAGCTCCCATTGTCGTTGGAACTCTTCGAGATCAAAGCCATTTGGGGGTAGATCCATTGGGTTATTTGAAGAAGAAGGTTTGAATTGCTAAGTGTTGATAGTGAGTGGTTTTCATATGATGTGTGATACATTATTTATAATGAATGACCTACGGATTCCAATAAGTTGAATGAAAGGATTAGGTATGGTTCAATTTCAGAAGCTAGTTGGTAGATATGTCCAGATTCATTTTTGTAGTATAGTGGCTAGTCTTGTCACTTTCAATTTCAGAAGCTAGTTGGTAGATATGGCCAGATTCATTTTTGTAGTATAGTGGCTAGACTAGACACTTTTAATTTCAGAAGCTAGTTGGTAGACATGGCCAGATTCATTTTTGTAGTATAGTGGCTAGTCTTGTCACTTTCAATTTCAGAAGCTAGTTGGTAGATATGGCCAGATTCATTTTTGTAGTATAGTAGCTAGACTTGTCACTTTTAATTTCAGAAGCTAGTTGGTAGACATGACCAGATTCATTTTTGTAGTATAGTGGATAGACTTGTCACTTTCAATATCAGAAGCAAGTGGGTAGACAAGTCATTTTCAATTTTCAGAAGCAAGTGGGAAGACATGGTCAGATTAATTTTTGTAGTATAATGCATAGACTTGTCACTTTCAATATCAGAAGCACGTTGATAGACATGTCACTTTCAATTTGAAACAGTAAAACACACAATATGGAACTTAAAGATCAAACAGATCCTTCTTCAACGTGTTATAAACATACTCATCTTCTTCATCACGATCTTCTTTGTTCTTCAAGATCATCCACACCTCCAACTTCTTAGCATAAGCAGCTTGTTTCTGACCTGCGGCGTACTCCAACATCGCTGAAACAGTACTTTCCATAGATTGTTGATAGTTTTCACGAGCAGATGCTAGATTGGAGAACTCATCTTCAATTGCCACTTTTGATTTCCTTGAAGTGGATGATTTACTAGAGGAAGCTCTAACTTTCTTCTTTCTTGCATCCCTACCCTCTGGACGGACAAGGATAGGAATGGAGGATTCAACATCTTCGCCACTACTCTTTCTTTTAGAGCCACTACTACCCGCATTTGTTCCAGTCATATATCTGGGTTGATTTCGCACCACCTTCCACTCTTCCTCCAAAATAAACCTCGTACCTTCCTTCTCATAGTAAATGCCCATAGGTTCAACCACTACGTCTCTCTCTACAAGCAGTACTGTAACAGCCAACAAAACTGCTTATCTTTCTGTTAATGTCATGGAAATGACTCTGGCATCGAGCTACGGTCCTTTTTTTCCCACTATTGGAGTTCTCATTCACGTAGGCTTTAATTTTACCCCAAAAGGTGTCACCTTTTTGATTGTTACCCAATTCACTATCATTGCTAACGTGAAAATAACCAGTTAGCAAAATGATGTTGTCTTCGGTGCTCCAAGTATCGTAAGTAGTTTTCTTGACTGATTGTTGGGTTGGAGGTAGAAAATTATTGGGAGTATCCCCACCAATATTTCCCAAAGATACCTGGGTGGAAAAATCTGGGATGTCTGTCGATCCACTACTGAAACAAGGAGTCGTTGGCTGGCTCGACTCCGGATTTGGAACGTTCATATGGGAAGGAACATAGCTGTTTTCAGGAGATGGTTGATACCCATAAGGAAGATAAGGGTATTGCATGCCAAAATTTGGTTGCATCATATAGGACATTTGAAAATTGGGTTGCATCCCCGTATTTTGATTATTTTCTGGGCGTTGCATATTTGGATGTTGAGGTTGATTAGGAAAGTTGTAATTGAAGGGGAAATTAGGAAAGTTTTGTGATGGCTCCATGAAGAAGATTGAAGAAAATAGTTTCAGAAAAAAAAGGAAGGAAAATAGGGTGTTGAAAACTCAATTTTTTTTTGGTGTCCAAATAATACAAAGTTAGGCTCTATTTATAGAGCTCGAAAAATTATGAATTATGGTGCAAAAATAAAAAATTAATTCTGAGTAAATTATTGTCAAAATATCAATTATTAGGATGGGGTAAAAAAACATGGCCCAATCAGAGGGCAACACGCGTCCGCGTGCAGGACAAGGCTGTCAGCAGCCCTGCACGCGGACGCGTGTTGCCCATCCATTGGGCCACGCTTTTTTTCCTTTCTTTTTTAATTCTAGCCGCTGTATGGTGGGGCCCGCTTGAGTCAGATTTGTGCAGAGAAAACGGTAGGGAAAATTTTCCCCTCTTTGCCTCCGTTTTTCATTTCCCTATCCCAAAAACTACCTGCTGTACCAAAAAACTCTCCCAAAAACCACCTGCTGCGGGTGGTCTTAACTCTCTCAGGGTACCTATTCCAAGTTTTAGGAGCCTAGATCACCATACACAGGTCAGAGAGCTGAAAAGGCCACGATAGCAAGCAGAAGAGGTTGTCTGCCTGATGTTCAACTTAGTTCCATCTCTAACTGGAAATTATAGTGTCTAGTCACCCACAAAGTTTATGGTAAATGTTTACCTTATCTGTATTTTGACTTTCAATCGAACTCATTACTCGTTTGCCTTTTCAATTTAGATTGAACAGGAAAGCAGAGAAACTAACAGACGTCCCTAGATGGTAATTCCTAGTAAGAATGTGTGAGGACACAAATTTTCCATTTAGAAAGGAAGATTATGTACCTTGAGGAAATGGTTTAGTATGGAATATGGGGTTGAAAAGTGGTTACTTGTGCTCGCATAGGTAAACATGTACACTCAAATCTATGAAGCAGAGTTAGGTGGTAAACATGTACAGTTAGCTTGATCGTCTAGTTTGGTAAAGGATTTCTATCAATTAGGTGACCTGTCTGATGAACAAAATATATAATATGCCCACATACAATATAAACCATTTGAATTGATGATATGAGTAATAACAGAGCGCCCAGGTTTATATAATAAAATGTACCCATGAACCATCGCCACCACCATGATATAAAGATAGACTAAAGAATTATATGATAACGGCATGATAGAACATGAAAATAATTTCTATAATCTGGCAAACATGAACTACGTTTTGCATGAGACAGACCTGTCCAGCATCAATCAGTGATAACAAGGCCCATCCAGTGTTTACTGCATGAGCTCGATTGCCCTCAAGATTTGAATAGACCTGTAACAAGAGCGAATAAAAGGTTTATTATATTAAAAAGCAAGCTACCGAGTGTAAATACAGTTTTCAGATGATTTATGTAGCATCTCAACCAATGCTTTAATAATTAATTGCTTATCACCAGTTCCATGCACCTTACTCATGCTCATTAAAAAATTCCCAAATGAGATCATACTGTTATAAATAATTGATAGATTAGAGACATCTAACATATGGTATGACACCAAACCAAGACTAGCAAAGCAGCCAGTTATGCTATTATGTAAAGTTGAAGAACCATATGCGATATGTGTTAGACTAGGTAGCCTGAGATTTTATACAGTGTAAGTATGAGGCTTCAATACTTGAAGGCCAGTGACTAAGTTAGAAAATATGTAGCTGTAGACACTAAAAAAATGTCAATGAATAAAGCAAGGTTGAACCTCGCTACAAGCATGACGAGGCTCGTCATCATGATGAACCTCATCTCAACCAACAAAGCCCATCAATAGAGTCGAAGTTCGTCATTGAAAACGAAGTTCGCTTAGAGACGAAATCCTCTAGAAGATGAAGCTCATCCAAAAGACGAAGTCCATCTGCAGACGAACCTCGTCAAACAATGTCTCACCCCTCAGAAGACGAAGTTCGTTCAGAAACGAATTTCGTCATTGAAGATGAAGTTCGCAGTTGTCATTATTGACGAACCTCGTGCATAGCCGAACCTCGTTTGTCACAATTTTCGGAGGCTACATTTAAGGAGGGTTAATGACCACTAACTCACCCATTTAAGAAGAGTTAATGACCATTAACTCACCCATTTAAGGAGAGTTAATGATCACTAATTCACCCATTTAAATGGAAGTTAATGACCACTAACTCTCTCATTTTAAGGGGAGTTAAAGCCCATTAACTCACTCCATAATGCTCCTAAGCCTATAAATAGGCATGATCAACATGAAAGAAAGAAAGGGGGATTGAAAGGCTAGTCAAAAAGCCTATCTTTCTTCCACTCTCATTAAGCTTCATAGATCATTATCATCGGCTAATCATTTGGTCTTGTGGGCACTAAAAATGCCAAGAGACAAAAGAGTGTCGAGGCTTACTCAAACATGACGAGGTTCATCACAAAGGCGAACCTCGTCTCAGTCAAAGATGAGGCTCGCCACGCAGTGATAAACACGTAAAATATGCATTATCTTAGTGTGTTTCAAGCATGATTTACGAGTGTTTAATGCATATTTCGTGTTTAGATCGAGGATACTGCTGTGGTTTGTGTTCTTATATGTAGGTATTGGCTCAAGATTGAAAGATTTAATGATCGATGGAAATAGAACAAGAGTTTGAAGCAACAACAAGATTTCGAATGCATGGTTCGTGAAGAAAATGGATACACGAGTATGAAGAACTGGAATTTCGACCATGATGCAATTTGAATTCAAAAAAGCTCAAAAGATAAAAGTTGTAGATCTCTTCAACAGGTTTTCAATGCAACTTGAATCACCTCATTCCGAGGTCGGACGTAAAAGTTATAGCCAAAATACAGAAGACTGTACAGACAAGCACAAAATCAGCAAAACAGATTCCACCACATCCTGGTGTGATGCGCACCACATCCATGGTGCGGACCTTATCTTTTTCCAGATTTTTTAGGGACATATAAATAGATATTTTGGTTTAGGGTTTTGATAACTTTGGTTATGTTCTCTTAGCCATCAATTAGTAACTATTTTAGAGTTCAAGTATCGAAGGAAGACACTAATTTCTTGTACAAGATTGGATTGCAAGTTTTGATTTTGAAGATCTCAATTGAAAGACGGGTTTCTTGTACAAGATTGGATTGCAAGTTTTGATTTTGAAGATCTCAATTGAAAGACGGGTTAATTCTTTCATCTCTTTGATTTATTTCTTCTTATGATTTGATTTTGAAGATCTCAATTGAAAGACGGGTTAATTCTTTCATCTCTTTGATTTATTTCTTCTTATGATTGATTTGCATAATTATTTGACGTATTCTCTCATCCCAATCATGTGTGAGTAGATTTCTTGTCTATGATTGGGAAAGAACCCAACTTTTTGGTGAATGATGATGAATTAATATAGGTTCTTGGTGAAAGTTTAAATCTTTTAACTTGATTTCTAGTGTTTTAATTTTGTTGATTCGCTTGATCACCGTATTAGCAATCATAGGTAATTAATTGAAGAACTAAAAGGTGAAGATTAATACCGGATCTTTAGAAATTAAGCAGGGAACTCGAACCACGAAAGTAGGCTAGATTCCTTGGGGATTTGATTTGGATTAGCATAAAACTTAATGAGTTTAATTTAATCTTGATTCCACAAAAATAGGTTAATTGAGATTAATTAGGCATGATCTTTAGACCTTGAAAGAGGCTTTAGATTAATTTAGGCTAATTCACCCTTTCTAATTTAAACCAACACCGGGAACTAAAATAATTCATCATTGAGCATCGAAGTTGTGGTGAAAACCCAATCCTGACCCTTCATTATATTGAATTCCACCTGATTAGCATTTTATTTTATTTCTTTCAATCTCTTCTAATTTACTCATTAGTTTAGCTAGCCAAATAACGTGAAATTTGGTAATTAACCCCTAGTCCATGTGGGATCGACCTTGATAGCTACAACGAGTCTGTGCGCTTGCAAATTTTACCAAGTTTTTGGCGCTGTTGCTGGGGACCACAGTGTTAATATTGAGTGCTTACGTTATTAAACTAGACTAGATTTTTTTTTATATTCTCTTCGCTACTCACTTTCTTTTATGCAAGGGCATCAAACAGAAGTACACAACGAAAATAATCCTGAACTATCGGTGACTCTTGCAGAGATAAGAAGGTATATAAAGGAGCAAAGGAACACAGAACAAGTTACAATGAGTGATCAGAATCAGCTTCTTAAGGATTTCGCTGCCCCAAATGCTCAAGGCACGCATTCGAGTATTACAATGCCCACCGTTGAAGCTAATAATTTCGAACTAAAACCATCACTGCTCTTAATGGTTCAGCAAAATCAGTTTGGAGGAGGTGCTACTGAAGACCCGAATCTCTACCTGTCGATTTTCTTGGAATATTGCGACACTTTGAAGCTTAATGGAGTGACCAATGATGCTATTCGACTCAGATTATTTCCATTCTCTTTAAAGGACAAGGCTAGGGCTTGGTTGCACTCATTGCTAACTGGGTCCATCACCACTTGGGATCGGCTGTCTAGAGCGTTTCTTGCAAAATATTTTCCACCGAGTAAAACAGCACAGATGAGGAACCGGATCACAAGCTTTGTACAGAAGGACAGAGAGTCACTCTATGAAGCTTGGGAATGCTACAAGGAATTATTGAGGACGTGCCCTCACCATGGACTGGAGAAGTGGTTAATTGTTCACACCTTCTACAACGGGCTCACTTACAACACTCGGATGACTGTTGATGCTGCTGCAGGAGGAGCTTTAATGAACAAAACAATAGATGATGCATACACTCTCATTGAAGACATGGCTCAAAATCACTATCAATGGGCGAACGAACGAGCTCAGACATCAAAAGGAGGAAAGTATGAAATCGATGTTTTAGATCATATATCCTCTAAAGTTGATGCTTTGTTTAAAAAAGTTAAAAACTTGAGTATTAATTCTGTGGCGTCTACTTCAATTGCATGCGAGATATGTGGTTATGTGGGTCATTCTACACTTGAATGTCAATTAGGAAACCCCTCATCCCTTAATACTTCTGATAATGAACATGTTAACTATGTTAATAACTTTAATCAGAAGGGAGACCTTTTCTCCAACACTTATAATCCGGGGTGGAAGAATCATCCTAATTTTTCTTATAGAAACCCACCTGGAAATTCCATGCCCGCATCTAATTTTGGTCCACCTGGTTTTCGTGCTCCTCAATCCAATCTCCCTCCCCAAAGGTCTAATTTGGAAAATATGATGGAAAAGTTTGTGATGACTCAGTCGAAATTGAATGAAGAGTTTAAACAACAACAAACCACGAATGAGGTAGTAAAACAATTGGCCTCTAAGATGGATTCCCTAGCTACGCATAACAAGATGTTAGAGACACAAATCATCAAATTGGCGCAAAATGCTAGCTCTTCTGCTAGGCCTTCAGGCATGCTACCTGGACAACCTGAGACGAATCCAAGGAGTCATGTGAATGCTATAACCTTTAGGAGTAGAAAACAATATGAGGGACCTAAGATGAAGGAAAATGATGGGGTAGATAGTCATCATGAAGAAAAAAATAAAAATGTGATAGATGTGGATAATGAGACCCAAACGCAAGAAAAAAAATTGAGAAATATGTGTCTCCCGCTCCTTACAAGCCTCCTCTACCCTTTCCACAAAGGTTAGCTAAGACTAAGTTAGAAAAACAGTTTGGAGATTTAGAAAAAGTTACACATCAATATCTCGTTCACTGAAGCTATTTCTCAAATGCCTTCTTATGTCAAGTTCTTGAAAGAGATCCTATCTAACAAAAGGAAGTTGGAAGAATACGAGACTGTGACCCTTACTGAGGAATGTAGTGCTATCATGCAGAATAAACTGTCTCCTAAGGTTAAGGATCCAGGTTCATTTTCTATTCCTTGTGTTATTGGTAATGTCTCTATTAATTGTGTTTTGTATGATTTAGGTGCAAGCCTAAGTTTGATGTCAATGTCTATTTGTAAGAAGCTTGGCATAGGTGATTTGAAGCCAACCACGATATCACTCCAATTGACAGATCGATCGATAAAATATCTGGTAGGTATACTTGAAGATGTACCTATCCAGACCGGTAAGTTCTTTATCCCGGTTGATTTTGTTATTTTAGAAATAGAAGAAAATTCTAACATTCTAATTATATTAGGAAGACCCTTCCTTGCTACTGCTGGTGCTATAGTCGATGTTAAAAATGGAAGGCTCTCTCTAAATATTCGAGAGGAGACGGTAGAATTTGATTTAAGCAATACTATGAAACTCCCTCTAACTGATAAAATTTGTTACAGTGTCGACGTCATTGACAAGTGTACACATGAGCAAATTGCAAACAATAACTCAGCTGATCCACTTGAGAAGTGTTTGGTAAGCAACAGATCAATAAATGATGAAGACCCCGCGGTAGCCGCGTATGCTCAATCTTTAGAATCAACATCGACTGCTCCATTTCGAAATGTAAAGTTTGAAAGTATGAAGTTTGAGCCAAAAGGATCTATTTTTAAAGAGAATAATGCGCCAAAGGTAGAATTAAAACCCCTCCCTTCCTCTTTAAGGTATGAGTTTCTTGGCCCTGACTCTACTTATCCTGTGATTGTGAATGCATGTCTAAATAAAAATAAAATTGATAAGTTGCGTAGAACACTTAGGATGCATCGTAAGGTCATAGGATACACCATGAACGACATTAAGGGAATCAATCCATCAATTTGTATGCATAGAATTCTCTTGGAAGATGATCATAAACCCTCTATAGAGCACCAACGTAGATTAAATCCTAACATGAAGAAAGTGGTTAAAAAAGAGGTGTTTAAGCTACTAGATGCTGGGGTAATCTATCCTATTTCTGATAGTGAATGGGTTAGCCCGGTCCATGTGGTTCCTAAAAAAGGGGGTGTGACCGTAGTCAAGAATGCGAATAATGAACTTATCCCTACTAGGATGGTTACGGATTGAAGAATGTGTATTGATTATAAAAAGTTGAACAAGGAAACCCGAAAAGATCATTTTCCACTTTCCTTTATAGACCAGATGTTGGAAAGGTTGGTCAGACATTCCTATTTTTGTTATTTAGATGTCTATTCGGGATTTTTCCAAATCCCTATTCATCCTAGGAAAAGACCACTTTTACTCGTCCTTATGGGACCTTTGTTTATAGGCGCATGCCTTTCGGTCTTTGTAATGCCCCCGCCACTTTTCAACAATGTATGATGGCTATTTTCTCTGATTTTATAGAAGACATTATGGACGTATTTATGGATGACTTCTCTGTGTATGAGACTATTTTTTATGGTTGTTTAGCTAACTTGTCTCGAGTTTTGCAGCGTTGCGAAGAAGTTAATTTAGTCCTAAATTGGGAGAAATGTCACTTTATGGTAAGAGATGAAATAGTTTTAGGACACAAGGTGTCCGAACACGGAATTGAGGTTGATCGATCAAAAGTGAAAATCATTGAAAATTTGCCTCTACCAACGTCGGTTAGGGGAGTAAGAAGTTTCTTAGGACATGTCGGTTTCTATCGGCGTTTCATCAAAGACTATTCAAAAATTGCAAAACCCTTAACTAAACTTCTTCTTAAGGATGCTCCCTTTGATTTTACTAATGAATGTCTTGATGCTTTTCGTAGGTTGAAGGAAGCATTGATAACCGCTCCTATTATGGAACTACCGGACTGGAATCTCCCATTTGAAGTCATGACTGATGCAAGTGATTATGCGCGATTGGTGCTGTGTTGGGTCAAAGGAAGAATAAGATAGTTCATGCAATTTATTATGCTAGTCGTACTCTTGATGAGGCCCAAGTTAACTACGCTACCACTGAAAAGGAGCTATTAGCAGTTGTCTTCGCCTTTGACAAGTTCAGGTCTTACTTAGTGGGGTCCAAAGTCATCGTTTATACCGACCACTCCGTCATCAAATATCTTTTGACCAAGCAAGATGCCAAGTCTAGGTTGATTCGATGGATACTTCTTTTACAAGAGTTTGACTTAGAGATAAAGGACAAAAAAGAGACGGAAAATTTTGTGGCAGACCATTTGTCGAGGATGAAACAAGAATCACATGACAAGGAGGATCTTTCCCAGATGATCAGTTGTTAGCCATAGAAAGATTGGATGCACCATGGTATGAGGACTTCGTCAACTACATAGTGTGGAGTTTTGCCTCCAGATTTGAGCTATCAACAGAAGAAGAAGTTCTTTGCTGACTTGAAGTATTATTTTTGGGATGAACCATTTCTATACAAACGGTGTGTTGATGGGATGTTTAGAAGGTGCGTTCCTGAAGATAAGGTTACAAGTATTCTCCATCATTGCCATTCATCTTCTTACGGAGGACATGCAAGCACTTCAAAGACAGCTGCAAAAGTTCTACAATCAGATTTCTATTGGCCGAGTCTTTTTCGGGATGCAAGACAGTTTGTGACTTCATGTGATAGTTGTCAGAGGACCGGGAACATTCCGAAGCGACATGAGATGCCTTTACACTCCATCTTGGAATTGAGGTCTTTGATGTGTGAGGGATAGATTTCATGGGACCGTTTCCGTCATCGTGTAACAAGTTCATCTTGGTGGCGGTGGACTACGTCTCCAAGTGGGTAGAAGCGATAGCATCCCCCACCAACGATGCTAAAGTGGTTGTGAAACTATTCAAAAACGTTATTTTTCCAAGGTTTGGGGTGCCACGGACGGTAATCAGTGATGACGGTTCAAACTTCATAGAAAGAAAATTCAAAGCTCTTAAGACAATATGGGATCACTCATAAGGTTGTCACACCATACCATCCTCAAACTAGTGGTCAAGTGAAGGTTTCGAATCGAGAAATTAAGAGTATCTTGGAGAAAACAGTTAATCGTTCGAGAAAGGACTGGTCTATGAAACTCTCGGATGCTTTATGGGCCTATCGAACTGCCTACAAAACACCCATAGGTATGACACCGTTCAAGTTGGTGTATGACAAATCATGTCATCTCCCAGTCGAGTTAGAGCACAAGGCGTATTGGGCTATTAAGCTGCTCAATTTTGATATGAAGACCGCAGGTGAGAAAAGAAAGCTTCAACTTCATGAGCTAGATGAGTTACGAATAGAATCCTATGAGAATGCTCGCATTTATAAAGAAAAGACTAAACGATGGCACGATAAGAATATCCTTCAAAGAATAAAGAAAAGACTAAACGATGGCACGATAAGAATATCCTTCAAAGAGAGTTTAATCAAGGAGATATGGTGCTACTTTTCAACTCTCCGATGGCACGATAAGAATATCCTTCAAAGAGAGTTTAATCAAGGAGATATGGTGCTACTTTTCAACTCTCGTTTGAAGCTTTTTCCAGGCAAGCTCAAGTCTAGGTGGTCCGGACCTTTTCAAGTCCGTGAGGTCTTTCCTAGTACAGTTGTTGAAGTCTGGAGTGAAACAACGGGATCTTTCAAGGTGAATGGACAACGATTGAAGCACTACATTGTAGGTGAACAAAACGAGAAAGGGGTCACTTATACCCTTTCCGATCGCCTTTCGTCGGAGAGTTGAGCGAAAAAGAGGTCGAGTTCATGACCATAAACGAGCGCTTCTTAGGAGGCAACCCAAGTTTTCATTCATTTTTTTATCTTATTTTATTTCATTTTAATTTCATTTTTTTTTATTTTTTTTAGGCATTTGGATCAGCACAAATTTAACTTATAACATTTCCAATCATGCAGTTGAGAAGAAGGGAGAACATGACATTAACTAAGGAATGATAAAAAAAACTGCAGGAAAAAAAGAGTTAAAATGGGATGACAGATTCTACCACACCCAGGGATGGTGTACACCACACCCATGGTCCACAGGAGAAAAAATCAGAGCCTACCACCCCAGGGTGTGTCGTATGCCACACCCACGGTTAAAAAAAAGGGGTTTGTGGATTGAAGAAATAAAACACCCAGACCCCTCTTTCTTTCATTTTATTTGACTAGCCGCCTTGCTTCTTCTCACTTCTCTTCGATCTCCTCCACCTCTCCTCTCCGACCACAAAGTCGCCCACTCTACCATCAGACCATCATCGCCGTCGCCCCTCCTTCGCAAACCCGCCGTTCTCTCATCCTTCACCAACCATCCAGCAAGAGTGTCGTCTCTATCTCCTCTTCGACAGTCATCTTCGACCACCAAGTCGCCGACCGCCGAGCGCCAGATCGTCACCTACTTCCAACACCGATTCCTCCACTTCCCATCAACGCAGCGCCTCCTTCCCCTCTTCGATCAACACCCGACCCTTCTCCACTGCACCGCCATCAACCAGCGTCGTTTCGCCGCTTCTCCTCCTTCAACATCATCTCCCCAACGCCGATCGCCGCCTTTCATTTTCGACCAGATCTTCGCTCCGCCTCCTTCCCTCACAACCAGCGCACCTCTCTCCTCATCACCGAAGCCTCAACCTCTCGCCTCTCTCTCCTCTGGTGTGAGACTAGCCGACCACCGACCAGCCGCTGTCATCTCTCATCAACGCAACAGCCCAGCAACCACCGTCGCCTCAGACACAGCCGCTGTCATCTCTCATCAACGCAACAGCCCAGCAACCACCGTCGCCTCAGACACAGTGGCGATCAAATTGCCCCACACCTGTTTCGATTTTGCCGCACAACAGCCAGCGGCTGCTTTCAACACCTGCTGTCAATTCACGTTCGAGAGCCTAAATGGGACCTAAGCGCGGACGGCCTAGTTAGGGAGCCTCAACTTCTACAGCGCGACGACACAAAGGTAACTCTCCCCCTCCCCAAAATCCTTATGGTATAGAATTTGTCAATGCACTACAACAAAATAGGTATAATACACTGGTTAAGCGGGGAATTTTGAGTACCCGCTATTTGGATGAGAATTGTTTGCGTGAGTTAGGGCTGTGGGATGATGTTTCATACCTCCTAAGACGGGTTGGTTGGTTAAATTTTGTTGAGGCTAAACATCCCACATACGAGCGTATTACTCTCGAATTTTTGAGCTCTATTGATGCTGTTTTATTTAATGGTGAGGGAGTAAAAGAAGGAAAAATCACTTTCAGATTATTTAACCAGTCCCACACACTTACATTAGCACAATTAAATGCGATATTTGGTTTTCCGGAGGGTGGGGCTTAGAATTATCCCTAAAATTTTTAACTTGACCCATTTTTGGACTTCAATCGCACGCTCTACCACTCAAAGACCTTATGATCCCTCCTTGTCATGAGCCTCTGCTGTTTATAACCCATGTTTTAGATATTTACAGAGGTTTATGGCTTTCACCATTTTTGGTCGAGACGAGAGTGATGGAGTCATGTGTCAGAGAGAGATCTACCTTTTATGTGCCATGGTTGAGGGACATAAGGTTGACACAAGAGCTTTTATGATTCATCACATGTGTCGTGTAGCGAGAGCAACGAGTGGAAAAATTATGTTAGGTGGTTTGATTACTACTTTAGCTTACGGGATGGGTTTAGGGGAGCTTGTAAAGGGTTTTCATCCATTAAGCCCTAGTGCGTCCATTAACCTTGATGCTTGTCTTCATATGAAATTGATTAGTAATAATGGCAATAGGTTATGGTTATGTTTTCAGGACAATTATCTTTTCCCACTCCCTGATCCTGATCGCACGACCATCCATGTTCACGCCAATTGGTCCTACCTCACATCTCATTTTATGAATTGTGATGATCACGAGGTTGTACCAGCTGAGGATACTGACACGGTACCCCCGATCCCTATTCAGGCTGAGCCTACCAGGGGAACTAGCTCTTTCCATCACCCTGATTGGTCAGCGAAATTATCAGCTATCCATATTTCTCTTGCCTCCCTTACTAACCGTGTAGGTGCCATCGAGCAAGAGCAACAACGTTAAGGACAACTGTTGGACTCTATACACTACATGATGCAGTCTTTTCACAAGCGACAGCTTCGACAGGATGCCTCCGCGCCGTCTCCTTCTGACCAGTGAGTTGGTATGTCCTCTGCACCCTTGCACTAATTTCTATCTTATTACATTGAGGACAATGTAGATCTTAAGCTTAGGGGTGTGAGTTGTTAATTCATTGGTTGTCTGTCTATAATTGCCTTTTTTTATTTTTTATTTTTTATTTTTCTTTGCTTTGTTTCTTCTCTTCAAAAAAAAATAGGGAAATGATCTCTTGATGATGACATGAATCATTAACATTTGTCGATCATTGAACTAGATAGATGCTCATTAGTCGGGACTTGACAACTTCTTAAACCACCTCTCAATTGATTTTTAAAGTCTTTTGATTACAAATTAACAATATGGGAGAACCAGACTTGAATATTCTCTTGTCTTATAGGATTTAGCATTTATGTGGCTAGCATCAAAACTATTATTCTATTGAGACAAGAGGAAAATTAAATTTGGTAGACAAATAAAACCGGTGAGATCTTGAGCCTGAAATTGGATGCATTACTTATCCAATCATTATTTTCTTTTCTTGTGTGATATTCTCCAATGGTGTAGGATACTAGAACTTGCATTGAATCTCTTCGAGGCCACATATAAATTTTGTATGCATAAAAAGTGATCGAGGCACATTTTTGTTTATAGTCCACATTAGCCAAACAGTCTACCATGCACTATTATTCCCCTTGATTAGCCCCTTGAGCCTATGAGCCTAATTTTTGTTGATTTAACCCACATATATAACCTTCAAAACCCGATTTTATTTCTTACCCATTGCTTAAGCTAGTGGAGCATAATTTATGATATAATGGGTTATGTGAGTAATGTGGTGTAAGCTTGGGGGTGTGAAAGTAGGTGTTTGCTTTTTTTTTTTAATTTTTTCCAAAAAAAAAAAAAAAAAAAAAACACACAATTCAAAAAAAAAGAGTTGAATAAAGTGTCCTCTTTATGGTACATGTAATTATTAGTGTCAAAAGAATTCATATGGCGTACTAAAAAGAGTAGTTGGAAGAAGTTCTTTAATAGATAATGGAGTTTGTGTGGATGTCATTGATCTTACTTTAAAATCTAATCTTTTTCAATTATCGCTCCACTAGTGATAGGCTTTCAACCAATCCCAAATAACTATCCTACCCTTTTGACCCTAACCCCGTTACAACCAAATAAAAGGCCTCGTGATTTTTTGCATGCATTAGTTTTTGAAGTGATGGAGAATTGAGATGAAATGCAAGCTTATGGATTGAATACATCCATTCGGAAGAATTTTGAGCGACATAATCCTATCCTTAAACACATGAGAGATCGAGAGTCCACATACCCTAAAGTGAGGTCTACCAATTTAACCACCTGAAAGTCTCAATTTTACTACTGGATTGAAGCTAGCTACATGAATTTCTTTTTTCTACTTTGACTTGAGAATTGGATAGGATGGATATCCTTGACTTGTGACGCTTGTGATCGTAAATAAATTTTAAAATGTGATTTTGTTGGGAGTTTTTAAAATTACTTTGTTAAGTCCCGATGAAACGTATTTGTCTTGTGATATGTTTGATATTGGTTAAAGGATTGATGAGGGGGTGATCTCTACTCTATTTGGCTTCCACTTCTCCTAATTTTTATTGTTTATTTGCTTGAGGGCAAGAAAAAGTCTAAGCTTGGGGGAGTTGATAAACACGTAAAATATGCATTATCTTAGTGTATTTCAAGCATGATTTACGAGTGTTTAATGCATATTTCGTATTTAGATCGAGGATACTGTTGTGGTTTGTGTTCTTATATGTAGGTATTGGCTCAAGATTGAAAGATTTAATGATCGTTGGAAATAGAACAAGAGTTTGAAGCAACAACAAGATTTCGAATGCATGGTTCGTGAAGAAATGGATACACGAGTATGAAGAACTGGAATTTCGACCATGATGCAATTTGAATTCAGAAAAGCTCAAAAGATAAAAGTTGTAGATCTCTTCAACAAGTTTCCAATGCAACTTGAATCACCTCATTCCGAGGTCGGACGCAAAAGTTATAGTCAAAATACAGAAGACTGTACAGACAAGCACAAAATCAGCAAAACAGATTCCACCACACCCTGGTGTGGTGCGCACCACACCCATGGCGCGGACCTTATCTTTTTCTAGATTTTTTAGGAACATATAAATAGATATTTTGGTTTAGGATTTTGATATCTTTGGTTATGTTCTCTTAGCCATCAATTAGCAACTATTTTAGAGTTCAAGTATTGAAGGAAGACACTAATTTCTTATACAAGATTGGATTGTAAGTTTTGATTTTGAAGATCTCAATTGAAAGACGGGTTAATTCTTTCCTCTTTGATTTATTTCTTCTTATGATTGATTTGCATAATTATTTGATGTATTCTCTCATCCCAATCACGTGTGAGTAGATTTCTTATCTAGGATTGAGAAAGAACCTAACTTTTTGGTGATTGATGATGAATTAATATAGGTTCTTGGTGAAAGTTTAAATCTTTTAACTTGATTTCTAGTGTTTTAATTTTGTTGATTCGCTTGATCACCATATTAGCAATCATAGGTAATTAATTAAAGGACTGAAAGGTGAAGCTTAATACCGGATCTCTAGAAATTAAGCAGGAAACTCGAATCACGAAAGTAGGCTAGATTCCTTGGGGATTTGATTTGGATTAGCATAAAGCTTAATGGGTTTAATTTAATCTTGATTCCACGAAAGTAGGTTAATTGAGATTAATTAGGCATGATCTTTAGACCTTGAAAGAGGCTTTAGATTAATTTAGGCTAATTTACCCTTTCTAGTTTAAACCAACACCGGGAACTAAAATAATTCATCATTGAGCATTGAAGTTGTGGTGAAAACCCAATCCTGACCCTTCATTATATTGAATTCCACCTGATTAGCATTTTATTTTATTTCTTTTAATCTCTTCTAATTTACTCATTAGTTTAGCTAGTCAAATAACGTGAAATTTGGTAATTAACCCCTAGTCCCTGTGGGATCGACCTTGATAGCTACAACGAGTCTGTGCGCTTGCAGATTTTGCCTACCACGTAGCGAGGCTCCACATTAAAGACGAGGTTCGCCATGCAGCGAGGCTTGACATCAAAAGACGAAGCTCGTCATTGGAAATGAGATTCGAAGTTCATCATTAGAGGAGAAGATCGTTAGTGAAGACGAAGTTCGTCAAAGGAAGTTCATAAGACTTGCTACGCAATTGGACTCAGCTATTGAAGATGAAATTCGTCAGTGAAGACAACTTGTCAAACGAAGTCAGTGAAGACAAAATTCGTCAGGAGAAGCTTGCCATACTGCGAGGCTGGCCTTACTAGATGAACATCACCGTGCATTGAGACTCGTCTAATCTGATGAACCTCGCCACGCAGGGAGGCTCGTCATCCACGTGAAGTTCGACCGTAACAGTCACGAGGACCCAGTCAGCCACGTGGGCTAAATTGCAAGAGCCAGTTACGCCCTCTACCCACGATTTCAGCACGTCGATTACGTGTCAAAGTCCTATAAATAGCTATGAATAGCTATGAAGAAAGGGGGACTTTTGGAACCTTTTTGGCAAAATCCCACTTCGGAAATCATTTAACAACCATCAGGAGTGTTCGCGATTTGTTTCTGATCGTCAACGGGAAGCAATCTCGACTCAAGCATCGAGTGAAGCATCCTCTCGCTACCTAGAACCCATCTTAAACAAAAGAGAAGTCAAATCTATCTTCTCTTCCTCTATAATCGAGAGAGTGAGTGATTGTAAGGGGTTCTTACCAAGTGATAAAACCCATTCTTAAAACAACAAAATCAATCAACTTCAACTTTTCGACCCTATAGCATCTGGTGTTTTCTGGGATTCTAATAATAAATATGATGAAATTCCCTTTTTCCAACCAAAAAAATAAAAAATATAAATCACTGCTAGATGTTTTGGTAGTAGTAATTACTGGGTTAACAAATATATTTCTCAAAAATATCCAGTTTAATAATGTGTACTGTCATATTATGATTTATGAGGTAAGCATAAATAATAGAATGTATAATAATGGCCATCCTTAGGGAATATTGTTGTGTCAGTGAGCCTAAGAAAAATTTAGGTTAAACATAAGATTCATAGTTTGTAATAAAATTGTACCTTGTCCTGACATGAAAGATAACTCTCTCCCCAACCACCTGAAGCCAACTGCTTTGACAACAGGAAATCACATGCTTTTCGTATGCAAGAGTTGTTCTGATAGGTTCTACCTCCAGCGATCAGTCCTTTTAACCCAAACCATGTTCCATAAGTGAAGCAAACAGCCCAAGAGCCATACCTGTAGATATTAGGGTTAGTAGTGAAAGATTATGAGAAGGATTGAACATGTGGAAATATGTCCATTAAAAGTGTAGCGACTGAAAATTTTCCTCTCAAACTAGGAGTAAAAGCACAAACCATGACCCGTCAGGCTCTTGTATCTTTTCAATGAAACGAACTGCTTTAGTAATACAATTTTCTATCTCTTCTCTTCTGTGTCCAGGATATAACTTTTTAAATGACGTTAGTGCCTGAATCGATGCGGATGTACATTCAACATATCTGCAATGGGGTGTTACATTGTCACATAAACGAAAGGAAGGTAACAGGAGAAAATTTTAAAGTAAAAGTTTGAAAAAAAAAATCTTACGAGTAATCAATAACAATGTCTCCAAATTTTAGAAAACAATGACAAATAAATATACATCTAATATCATTTTTTGAAAAGTACATAAAACTTTGCTCTGAGGCGATTAGTACAGCCTTCATTCAGTGAAAGTAAAATGCCTGGAAGCTTGGAAATTTGGAAAGGGTTTATAAACTCAACAATATCCTTGGGATTCTGTTGCAACATTTCTAGTAAATTTTGTATTTCACAGTTACAGCCTCATGTCAAAGCATAAAACTCAAGCTTGAACGCCTGCTATACAAGGAATATCAGGACGTTTGATGGAATACTACTGTGAGGATATTAGGCATTAGCAAAATGTGCCAGTGTGAGACAGATTTTGGCACCAAAATATCAGCCTATTAACAAATAGGACATGCTACTAACTATTTCTTAGATGACACAACAAAGATATAGCAGGTGATATGATACCATCTCTTAGTTCAGGACTGTACGAAAGTCAAATATGTTGCAATTTGCGATAAATACAAAAGTGACAATGATATCAAGGACAGATAAATAGATAGATTTTTGGATACACATATGTATATTTTACATGTGTATATACAGTATATATTGGACAAGTCTCATGTAATAAGCATTTTAATGTATGTTAACATGAGGCCTTTGAAACAAATAGGTTATCCACATTTGCATGTCCCACTCAACATTTATGTTCATCCGCTGGCACATATTAAGAATTCACAATATGTTAACTTCTAACATCAGCCTCAGCATCATGATGAAAAGGTATGCAGTTCCTACTGCCATGTCTCGCTGACAGAGAAATTGGGTAAACCACGGAAAGAAGAGTGTACCCTATTTATTAGTTTCAATTCATTATCTTCATTAAAATATAGTATATCAGTATACATACCCTTTTCCATAGTCTTTTTCTATTGTAGAAAATACAAACATATTTCAATTCTAACAGGTGACAATATGCTGTTATGTATCTTATTGCGAAAACATGCAACTGTTTTGCATCATATAAACATTTACAAGCATAATCTAATTCTATGCAACAGATCAAATACTATTGACATGATTTTCTGCAGTGAAAAGTGAGAAAGAATAAGTAGTTTTCACAAAAAAGGCATTGCTGGCTGCTGTAAAAAAATACGCATTGGCACAAATAGGCGACAAGGGAAAAGAGGTAGAAAACCTTGAACATAATACTTCAGGGAAGAATACTGACCTCCAACCACGGATATGATCTTGTCAGCTCATACGTTGCAAAACCACCTTCTGGATTCTACATTCAAACCAGAGAGAAAAATTACAAAGCAACGAAATTGGCAATAAGAGAACAATGAATTACGTATGATAATCACATAGGTTAATATTGTAGAAAAGACCGACCTCCTGACCCCATCCATATGTTGTTTGACGCGATGTAAAGCCTTGGGGCCCACTAAGTGCAACACATTTGGCTCAAACCATAGCCTAGAATGACTAATCATTGTTGCACTTGACTCCGATGACTTAGCTTATAAACCCATCAAAACTTACTCAAGTTTCCAATGTTGGTCTAAATGGGGGGATCACTATCACCCAACCTAAAATACGTGATGTCCTCATCGCAAAATGACAACGGTCTATCACAGGATAACCATCATTGCAGGTATTTTGGATTCTAGAGGTGGTTCCTATGGGTTCTAGAGATGACTTCCGCCGCCCTCGCGTGGTGTGGCACTTAGTCTCTTATAACACTTAGTTCCACAATTTCGGCTAGCTAATTGCTTTGATACCATTTCTCATGTCCTGGGTCCGCGAGCCTACTGGCGATGTAAGCCATGGGACTCAATGAATGCACATGTTGTTTGGCTAAAATCATAGCAAAAAATGATTGGCCATTGTAGCACTTGACTCCCATGACTTAGCTTATTAACCCATCCAAACATTCTCAAGTTTCGATGTGGGACTAAATGGGGGACATTGAAACTTGGTAGGTTTAATAGGCTTTGGTTGTTGGTTTAGTTAACTTGATCCATAACGATTCCATTAGATCAGCACCTACAGAATCCAAGAGTTGTGGTTTCAGCTTTGGGTTTTAATTCGTGAGAAATACTTGTCGATAATGCAACTCAAAAGCCATGTAGTGGCAGATAAAAAATACCGAAGTCGCTTAGAAGAAAGAGGTGAAATGATGATAGCTTTATATCTTAAGATGTGAAGTGATATCTCGTGATAGCTATTTTTTCTAATTATGTTTTCCTTCCTCTTTTTTTTTCGCTTCTATCCTGGTGGTAATTTTCTCTAAACTTGAGTTACTTCTCCTAAAATGTCCTTAATTCCTCTTCGTGAAGTGTTACATTGTCTGCCAACAGAAGTTTCCTATCAACAAATTGACGTTTTATGATTCGAGGCGCAATTTGTTGCATGGCTCAAGTACTATTATACTGCAGCTTTGTATTACCCATCAGTTCTTTCTGTTTCTGCCTTTTTTCTCTCTCTTTTCTGGTCTAGTCTGACTAATCTTCTGTGGTTATCTTGACCTTATTATAAAATATTATTCTCTTTCCTATAAGCCTAATCAAACTAATTCACTGCTTTCTGTGTATATGCCCAAGCTTCCCTTCAATTGTGGACAACTGGCCTGTTTCTAGTAATAGTTTCAACCAGAACTATAGTGCAGACCTAAAGAAAATAATTAATATTCTCTTTTCCTTATTATGATTAAGTGCTAACAAACTTAAAAAAATGGGAACCTTGTCATGGAAGAAGGGAAAAAGAAAATCCATCTGGTATTTTCTCCCTTCGGGCGATTGAGTCGTTGAAGTTGAATGATACGTGTAACAAGCTTATACAATGATGGGGATAGAATTTGGTTTGTTTGAAAGAATTGCCAAAATAATTTCAATGTAAAATCCTGAAGGTCAAGCATAATGCTTTTACAAAATAGGATAACAAGGCGT